TCAGCTCAAAATTCGACCGGGAAGGCAGTCAAATAAATTCTTGAAGCTTACTGTACATTCTGCGCATATATAAAGTGCAGTAAGTTTCAAGAATTTATTTGACTGCCTTCCCGATCGAATGTTGAACTTAAATTTGGTATGGACAAACTAGACTTGATGAGGAACATGCTCATAAAGTTTCATCAAAATATTTCACCGGGAACCGCCCCAAATGACGGAGTTCAGATGGCGGCTGGACGGGGGAGGGAGAGACATGATCTTTTCTAATATATATATATATATATATATATATATATATATATATAGAGAGAGAGAGAGAGAGAGAGAGAGAGAGAGAGAGGAAACTTCATGTCCAGCCGGCCTGACGGGAACCGCCGTCCGGCCGAGGGCATTTCGGGCACTTCCCGATTGAATTTTTTGATGAAACTTTTTGAGCATGTTCTTCATCAAGTTTAGTTTATCCATACCAAATTTCAGCTCAAAATTCGATCGGGAAGGCATTCAAATCATTTTTTTGAAGTTGAATGCGTTTTATATGTATATTTTGATGCAGTAAACACGGAGTATTATAGCTTCTTCCCTACCTTCCCCCGGTCTCTTCTTCCCTGCTCTCTGTGTTTTCCGTCGACTTTGGTACTGCAGTTGGGCGATTGGGGATTTCAGGCTTTCTAAATTCTAATTTTACGCTCCGTATGCTTTTTACTTAATCCAATCGACAACGTTTGGTCAAGTATTTTAAAGAAATGAAAATGACGTCGCTGGGCTTATTGGCAGAAAGTTTATTTTGAATTGCGACTCTAGTGCGTCTCCATCGAGGTTTCAACTCTACAACCTACATTTTTACTACGTACGGAGTATTATTTATTTATTTATTTATTTATTTATTTATTTATTTATTTATTTATTTATTTATTTATTTATTTATTTATTTATTTTTGTACTAGACTTTTGGATTTCGGTTTCTTTTGAAGTTGCATTTAATATATTATTATACTACCTCCGTCCTAAAAATATTGGCCAATTTGAATTTTCTTGGTCAATGGTATTAAAATTTAGACAATGATTTTAGGTATTATATTTATGTGTAGTTTATAAATTTTATACTTTATTTATGAAAGATCTTTTGATAAAGAATAAGCTCATATTATTTTCATATTTCAAATAGTTTTGTATTAAAAGATATCATTGGTCAAAGTTCATAACCGTTGACCAAGAAAAGTCAAATTGCCAACCTTTTTGGGATGGAGGGAGTATATATTAGCTATCTTTGCCACTTTCAGAATTGAGATAATGTGTGCTAATGTTTTTTTATACTCCGTACGTAGTATTATTTACTCCGTAGTTGTTTAACAATTACGTAGTAGCATTTTACCTTGTGATTAATTCACTCTTTTAGGCTAAAACTTTTATCATTTTAATCATTTGAATGTGTAAATATTTGAACATTAAATATTTTTGTAAAGGATTTGAACATTAAATATTCAGAAGTGCTTAAGTATTCTTATTCATCAATATAGTGAAATATTAGAATATTTTAAAACCTAAAAATATCAAATAACATTATTAAAAACTCATATACAACAAAATGTGTACTAAGTATTAAGATTATTTTATTATTGTAATGAAGAATATATATTTTTAATTTTTTATATATTAATATATGTTTATTACTATAAATTTTTATATAAAAGTCTGACATTGTTGGGGTTGACCCGTCAGATCCGGGTTACGTAGACCCGTGACCCGATTTTTTTTATTTTCTCACCCCCGGCTCAAATATAGTTCTGGTTCCGCCCTTGCTAGAGAGAGATGAAAAGCTTATAGATTTAGAACTTCAATTAATATAGAGATTTGGTCAACTTCAATATTATCGCGCGAACACACTCTTATTATTTGAATATCACTATATTTTAAACAAATTGATCACTATTGACACATTTAAAATTATTATATTTTAAATCTAATGCTCAACAGTTGTTTGAATTTTGGTTAGAATGGCAATAATATCCGTAGAATCATTGTAGAATGCAAAATAGGACCTGCGACCATTTGAGGATAAATCGAATAAGGTGGTTGGAAATTAAACTTGGAGTTTATGGAAGATAAAATAAACGTTCAAATTATAGGGAAAAAAAACTCCGTAGTAAAGGAGTAGTGAACCAACGGAATTCAAAATGTGGAAACAAATGTAATGCATCTAGGGAGTGTTTCCTATTGATTAAAAAAGTGATTCTAGCTTTTAGCTTTAAAAAAATAAAATTGGTGTTTTCAAATACCTACTTCTACTTAAATTAAGCACTTAAAAGTTAAAAACTTAAAATCGATAGATGGATTTGCCTCGTGCAAAATGACGGCTTAAAAACAAATACTCGTACTAGCTAATATTTTGGACGTGTTTGACATTTAACAGTTAATAATCAGCGGATATTAGCAGATTGTAAATAGTGGATGCAGTCAATGAGTTTGACTAGAGGAATAAATTGAAGAATTATTAGAAGATGTTTGCTAATTTAATTGTTTAATCATAATAATTACGGAGTAGTAGAAAACGTCATATTTTAAAACACTAACCTAAAACTCTGTATAAAAATACATAGTTTTGCAGAGTTTTCGTGTTAGCGCTTATGATGGGGCCAAACAACTATTTAGCAAACAACGTTTTCACATATTGAAAACGTTAAAAGTAGTCAAACCTCTATTTCTCGGATGAAACATTTTTTCAAACACCCCTTTACCAGTCACATTTTATGTGTCTTACTCTTATTTGACACAATTATTAATAAAATGATTGAAAAGGTAAATTTATGATTGAAATTTTAGTATAATATAGTGAAATGTTTTATATCACATATTTCTTTTCAGAAAAGGAAAGCATGCAACAATATTTATTCTTTTAGTATACTATTCGTACACTTATTTATGTATATTTAATGTTCCAAATCTTGGGCAAATTGTTTATGTGCATGGAAATTTAATTGTTTAGGTATACAAGTGTGTATGAAAAGTGTATAAAAGGTGTATAAAGTTATACTTCGTAAATGTTATGGAGTCCTTTCCAAGGAGACCCATATTTTTTATCTGGACTGGCTGAAGAAGATTCTAAAAAATCCTTTGCAGCTTATAACTTTTGTTTTTTGATTTTTATGAACTCCATGTAATTATTTTTGTTATCATTATTCGATTGAGAATTTATCAAAAATAATTGACTTAAATGGAGTAAAATACTAGTACAACATTTTCTCCTAAATATGAGTACACTCCTAACTTTCGCTAAATAGGAGTAAACATTAAATTTCTATCTCAAATACCCCTGATCTAATTAATTAATGGCCCCCTAGTTCTCGTGGGTAACTAGGGCAGTGCGTCGGTGAGGGCGGCAGACGATTTGGGGCAAAAAAATGAGATTTCTTTTTTGCCCAGACGAAGCTCTGGCAGAGGCCGTAGAGGCGATCGGCAAACGGCGGCCGGAATCAAGTGGCAGCTGGAGAAGCTCCAGTGGCGACCGGCGGAGCTCCAACGGTGTCCGGAATCCAATGGTGGCAGGGGTGACACTTCTTGGCGGTGGCAGGTGGTGGCATGTGGTTGTGGGGCATTTTTGTCCAATCACAAAAAACTCCTATTTTGACAATTTTAAAACTAATACTCCTATTTGTGAACATCTTGCTTAACTCATTCATCAATTCAGGTTTTAGCTTTGAATCTAAGAGCATCTTCAATGCTACAATGTGCACGGTGCACATGTGGCATGAGAGAGATAGTCACAAAAATTGATTTTATGACATTTCTCTCTCATTCTTTCCACGGTTTTATCTGTTTTTGGTAAGTTTTGCTCTGCAATGTCAAGGACAATGTTTACATCTAGACATTGTGCTTGACATTGTGAAGAAAAACTTACCAAAATGATACAAGATCCTTCAAATAAGGAGAGAGATATTCTATTTATTATTTTTTAATTGGTTGTCACTCATGACACGTATGCACCGTTCACGTTTTAGCATTGGAGATGCTAAAATTACCGCATTGGAGAAACGTATACACCGTTCATGTTTAATTACCGCATTTGATTGACATTTATGAGTTACTATACGTACTTTTTATTTAAAAATCTATCCATGAGAACTCTAAATTCTAAAACATCTTGAAGGACTAATTAGAAATTGCAAATTAAATACAATCCCAAATTGTATTTTTCTTTGTTTTTCGCATTATTTATTTATGGTAAGACTTCATTTCACATTTTTTATGTTTAGTGCGTATTTAATATTTTTAGTGTTTGAGAAGTGACTGTGTTCCTAACTAGGGTTTTCTTTCGCCATTCTTGTGCGGCTTTTTTCTTCTGCAGTCCCACAATGCCTATATGGCAGAGATCACAATCAAGGCAAGGGTAGGCAGATTGCGACTGAATGAGGATGAGGTAGACCTGATGCAAAATAGTTTGGAAAGGTTGATCGGGCAGTGCGACAATTTAGAGATCAGTACTAAGAATGACGAAGTGGTATTCAGTGAGGACATTGTGGACCACATAGAACAAACGTGTCTGGAAGCCCATCCCCCTCCTGTGCTGCCGCCATGGAGTGCAAGAGAGACTAGTTTGGAAAAAGATGAGTGAATTCTATTTAATTCCGTTTTATTTTGTTTGTATGTTTCTTTCGAACTACAATTTGTTTTGGGTGTGTTTCTATTTCCTAGTAGAAGAACTATAGAACTTAGGACAAGTGATGAGAAGTCTGATTTGCCTATCATTGACTCAATTAAGTTCATTACAAGATCAGCGAATCTAATTGCTTCTACGGAGATGATTGATCCTAAGCCGGGTTCAAAGGAGGACGGCAGAGAAAAGGCTTTTTGTCAATTTGTACCTTCCTCATGTTCTGGTATCTTACTATCCCCTTTCGTTCAAAAAGAATGAAAATAAACCTTTTCATGTGTCAAATCCGGCACAAGTCTAAAAGCCACCTATTGAGCTTTAATCGATAGCCGACTGACTAACCTGGGTAATATCTCTCTAAGAATATCAATTCTTGACATACAACCCCCCTTCGTGAAATTTTAATAAAAACATCACAAGCATGTTCCATGAACAAAATACAGCTTCCTGTAGTTGAATCCAAGACACTTACCATTATGGCCATGGAAATCAAACAGTTGAAAGGAGATGTTCAATAAACCCGACAAGGGAAACTGTTGATCTACATGGATCTTCTAACTAAGTATCTACCAAGTCTTATGCACAAGTGATACCAAGCACTTTCTAAGCACAAGGAAAACTACATTCAGGAGTTTGAATGATAAAAGCAACCTTCTTAGGAACAGTTTTTTTATGTCCTGCCCCATTTACCCCAACCCCAACTACTGCTGACAGCAGGTTGCGGCAAAGTGCTTCCCTGTCCTCCTGCATCCTTGCTTTCCCAGTTATTATTAGAACGTTTGAATTTTTTTTTTTTGGGTTATATGATGTAGATTGCTTACCTTCTGTCCTGCCATTCTTGAAGACGTGCCCCACCTTCCAGTCGATATTCCTCTCTCATTTTCATCAGACCATTTCCTCTTTATGGAGTCTGATTTTCTTGAACATTCTGGCGCTTTTCCTCCCAAGGAACCCACAGTTGGCTTCCCCCAACTCGTTGATGCAGATCCTCCCCAACCATTGGTAGCCAGCTTCTCTGAAATTCCTGATGTTGATGATCCTCCCCCAACATCCACCATTTGTCTTTCCCAACTTTTTGGTTGTCGACCTCCCCAACATTTGGCAGTCAGTTTCTCTGAGTTTCCTGATGTTGTTGATCCTCCACCATCATTTTCTTTTCCCCAACTACTTGGTTGTGATTCTCCCCTGATACCTACCACTTGTTTCCTGAACTGTGATCCTCCCCAGCCTTTGGCAGACGGTTTCTCTGAAATCGGTTCATTTGATCTTCCAGTTGTTGTTGATCCTCCCCAAGTACTTGATTGTGACCCTACTCCAACATCCACCGTTCGTTTTCCCCAACTTGCCAATTCTGATCGTCCCCACCCTTTGGCAGTTGGTTTCTCCGACCACCCCCCTCCAACATCCACTGTTGATTTTCTCCAACTTGTCGATTCCGATTGTCCCCACCCTTTGGCAGTTTCTTTCTCTGACCATCCTGATGCAGTTGATCCTTCCCAACCTTTGGCAGTTGGTTTCCCCGACCATCCTGATGCTGTTGATCCTCCCCAGCTTTTGGCAGTTGATTTCTCTAAGCTTCCTGAGTTTGATCCTAACCAGACATCAACCAGCGGTTTTCCCCAACTTTTTGATTTTGATCCTCCCCAGCCTTTGGTAGTCTGCTGTTTCTCAGAATTTCCTGGTGTTGAAGATCCTCCAAAAGTGTCAACTGCTGGTTTTTCCCAACTTTTTGATTCTGATCCTCCCCACATTTTGGTAGCTTGTTTCTCTGAAATTCCCGGTGATGATGATCCTCCCAAGACATCAACCGCTGATTTTCCCCAACTAGTTGATTGTGATCCTCCCCAAGCTTTGGCAGTTGGTTTCTCTGAACTTTCTGAGGTTGATCCTCCCCATCCTTCAACAGTTGATCTCTTTAAGCTTGAAGATTGTGATCCACCCCAACTTTTTGCAGTGACATTCTCTTCTGATATTGTTGATCCTCCCCAACCGTCAAGCATTGATTTTCCCCAACTTCCTGATGTTGATTTTCCCCAAACTTTTGTAGCAGATCTTCCCCTATTTCCTGATGGTACACTATCCCATCCGGCCACAGCAGGCTCATGTGGAATAGTTTGCTGGCCTGCTTTAATAGCCACCTCCTTTTTATGCCCATTCTTGTCTTTGCTGGCATCTTTTTTACCTTTTCCATCCCTCAAAGTGGGACAACCACTTTGTCCAAACAAATATTCTTTCAGTGTAGATCCCTCAATTCGGCCCTCCATGAAAGCAGCAATGCGCTCGCTTGAATTATGGATGCACTTATATATCTTTTTCACTTCTTTCACTCCAACTGCCCGTGCTACATTTTGGGACCGATCCGTGAAATCCTCAACCTGAGAGAATAACTCATGACTGTAAAACTTAAGCGCTTCCAAAGCATATGAAGAGGAGATCTTAATAAGCTTTAGAATTTATGTACACTAATACAGGCAACTTTGAAGTCCCAGGTTTTAGATATCCAAGATCCTTCATAAGTGCTTGCGCAGATTCCCTTGCACCAGAGATTCTCCACTGCCAATAACTGCAACGAAGATGACAATAGAACAATATTAATATTAAAACTTGACATTTTGGATGAAGTTAGAATTAGAAAAGAAAGAAGGATGCAAGTGAAAAGTGAAAGCGACTGAAAAACGGATAGATATTTAAGTTATTCGGATTCAGAGAAGTAGAAGAGAAAGAAAACTATGTGGGTAGTGTAAAGACATATATTGTACACTAATCACATGTTTAAAACTTTAATTAGTACAAAATACAAGTGTAGGTAAGTCATTTTATGTGTAGTGATCCACTTATTTGAGTTATTTCCTTTTATTCTCTTCAACATCTAACCATATGGGGAGATACTTTTAATGCGGGCCCCACCAATGTTTATTCCTTAATTCCTTTCCTCCCACGTTTTATCTTACCCAAAGTCCCAAACCATCCAAAAATTACTGTTTCCTCCCAAACTCTATCTAAGATAAGTACCAAACAATGAGTAGAAGTGAAGTAACAGTAATTTAATGGTATCAAGGATGTTTAACTCAACCTTGATTAACAGGGTCATGAACAGCTCGGCTACTGATTCTTTATTGCTCTTTCCATAGTTTGAAAAATTACAAACCAACTTTTCAGCTTCTGCAGAGTCAGCTCCATCTAAAATAACAAAAAAGATGAACTCACAAGCTATTAAAGTCAATTCATTGCACATAAAAACTTAACAGGACCAGAAATGTAAAAAGAAGTAAAGAACTATTATTAGGAAATATATAAGGTAGAACAATGAGGTGGCAACCATCCAAATGAAACTGATGTACCCTAAAACCCTACTAATCAACCTTTTCTGGTCTTGAAAGTTTACTGTTAAAATAATTGGCATACATTTTATACAAGACTAGGATTGCTAACTTATAAAGAAAAATAGATCTTAATGCTAACCAAAAAAATTAATAGTTTAATATGCATGATGACACGGTCACATAAAACAGCAACAATTTTGAAATCGAACATAGTCCACTAGCATAACCAAATCATCATTACATTGCTACCGTGTAAAATGACTATGAAAGAGGGGTTTAAAGGCTGGCTACATACAAATGGTTAATTTAGCACGATTCTTCTAGTACATGTGGCCAACAAGATTCAAAAAGAAGGTGGAGGGGTCATAGCTGTTACCTTTGTATAAGGCAGAAAAAGGTGGCAAGATGGGGGGATTTCGCGTCTGCATGTTACTCACAGAAAATGTGAAGAACAAATTATTAAAAAGTTAAATATAATGACCATTAGAAAATAGAAATGCAACCACATCAATAATAGATCAATTGGTACTTCAGTTATAAGTCTTTTTCCATAAGCACTAAAAAGAGTAGAATAAGTTCCAAGTAGGATACAGCAAAGAGTATAGCCTTAAAAGATGCAAATTTTTCCCATTATGCAATGCAGTAATACAGCATGCTCATTGGGTGTATTCTTCTACATTCTTGTGTGCCAGAAAAAAGGTGTATTCTTCTAAAAAAAAATGAATGCCTCTAGAAAATCCAACATTATTTGTAGAAGTATCGCACGCTACAGCAATCATAAAATGATGGAAGCTGCCATGTATCTCCTAAAAAAGTCAAAACAGTAAAGCTACTTAGATTTGCACTTCCAAGATTACTGATTACACAACTGATTATTATTCTATAAGTTCAACTGTGTATTAACTATTGCAGGCTTCATGTCTTCAAGTCATATAATATTTTGAAAGAAAAACAGACATGTTCAAAAATATTCATAAGCTTAATATCACACCTGTAGATGAAAAGCAACTAAGAGTACTATAGACATGGAGTTCAAGGTTTTGAACTTTGAGCTATTAATGTTATGCGCTTTTGCCCATGCCTTCATCTGCCAAAAAATGGAATTGTGAGATCCCAACACATGAATGATATTAGCAATTCAGCATTAATCTAGCCTAAGTTTTTTAGCCTACACATGAATGATATTAGGTCCTAGCTTAGTAGCTTGTATTTTACATTAATTTATTATAAAACAAGTCAAGGAGCGCACCAGCCATAGGTAAATTGAATAGTCAAGTAGAAGAAGAGCATCCACTAAAACAGAGCTTTATCATATGGTGAACCCATCAATTATTAAGTGCCAATGACGTATATATTTCCCCTATACTTTTTGGGAACTAAGCCAGTAAGTGAAAGCATATCTGACAAATATGTATGATAATGAGAAAAACTGGTTTTCAAAGAAAATCAGCAGACTCACCAGGAAGCTTAGCTTCCCAAATCTTTCATCAATTGAACAAATCATATGTACTATCTTAGATTTTAAGACTCCATCCCTGTTTTCAACTGATATATCACACTCAATTCTAGTTCCACGGTCAACAACCTTAAGAATAGGCACATTGGCTGTAGTAATTGGATGAACACCATAGACATGCCCTTCTCCTGAAGCACAGAAACTAACAAATCAACAAGAGTAAGCTAAAACATGCCATAATACTGTACAACTTGACAAAGTTATCGCCGCCTGAGCAAGAAATATAAAGAAGCAAAAAAGATTAAAATTCATCATTCACCTTATTTTCTTCCTCATAATAATGAATATCTATCCGAATGAATAGTGAAATGATGTTTAAACTTTATTAAACATAATGAAAAATTAGTTAAGTACATTGACAGGAAAAAACTAATGCTCCACAATTGATTAAACACAGGATATGCTTATTATCGACTATCGAGTATGCTTCTACTTGGATGAAATCATACTTTGGAATAACAACTCCAAAAATAAACTATCAACTTTTTTTTAACTAAACTGAAGTACATATGTAATAAAAAACAAAAGAAATAGATGTAAGCTTTATACGTTGAAGAGCGTATAACTTCTTAGCAAACTTCCTCAGTTTTTGAATCCTCTTCTCGCGTGAAAACCCAACCGCATTGTTCCCAAAATTAATAGATAAATCTAGATCACTTTTAGTTGTGAATAAGTCCATTAAGAAAGACCCAAACTCCTCCACCATAGGGGCGTCACTACCAGGGCCTGAAACAAAAATCAATAAAAAAATAGCAAATGTTCTTCTAAAAAAACAAGAAATAAAATTACATTGGATCTTCGGAATATGAGTTTAGATCTGTTGTATCACATTTCCTGCAACACTTGTACCACTCATTTTGATTGGCCAGTGTATAAAAAAAAATTAACATGGTTTCAACTAATCAAAACGTGTGGTACATGAAATATAGTGCAAGGGATTTCAATTCCCCAAAAGTGGCAACTATATAACCTTAAGTGAGTTACAGAGCTATAGACTTCAGTGTGAGGAAGCAGGAAATAAAACATATGATGCAGAATTATATAATGACAATTACCATAGATGTCCTTAGCCAATACATTAAAGACAAAAACCAGAGCTCTTCGAACATCATAATCACTTGGTTTAGGGCGGAGAGATGTATAAACGTTGTCCAGCAAATCTTCTATGGCAGGAACCTTTTCTGATACCACCACATATTTCTGCCATCTTTTCCGCTCAAGTCTCTCTGACTTCTTTCTAAGAACTGATGTCAGAGTTAAGTAGTTAGCTGATGAAATACAAAGTCACACTCAAAACTACAAGTATATTTCAATAACAGAGTTTTAAAAAATAATTCTTCATTCATACAAAGCTACTAATACTTTGGAATCACCGCATCTGTTTCAGTCTGCTCATGCAGGATGAACGATGTGTAGCCTACACCAGGCAGATTGTTCAAACTATTTCATTACCTTTCTATAAGAGCAGAAGTGCAAACTTTCTTCTCTCAGCTTGTGTTTTTTCATTGTGTGACGTGCGGAAGACAAATCACTTAGACATAGTTAGGTACATACAAATACACCATGCTGCACGTCAGCATACATTGCAAAGATAGATACGGTATTTGGTTTACCATTTACACAGAAACACGGCTTTTAACATCTTATCATGTGAAAAGCTGAGCAACCAACAAGGCAAGCATTTTTTATTTTAAAGGATGTGTGTTAACAGCTTGACATTAAGCCTTATTAATGCCCTCCAGGAGAAAAGGAGCAGAGTAAACTAAATAAAAACAAACAAGTATAGAAATTTTGGAGGCCGCAAATTTTAAAGGGTGCAAACTACAGCAATTGGAGCAAGATTTCAGTTCTTTTTATCTGATAAGACCAAGATTTCAGCTTTAGAACACAATGTTGCTGACTAGCTGGGTGCCTGAGTTCTAATTTCAAGAAAAATGTGTAAGAAATAAATAAAATGGCTAACCTTTTACGCGTAATGCTACAGCCATTAGAGAAAGAAGATTCAGTGCCAGAGATGGAAATATTAGTCACTTCAGCTGTTCAGCATCTACTCCATTCAATTAATGGCTAGAGTGCCCTGATTTGAGCTCCTCCTGCTTTGATTTATCCTCTTCTTTTGCCACTCACTTTAATCCTCTTTCTTCACCCTCTGACCTATTTCTTTAAATCCAAGGATTTTATTCTTCAGAAAACCTTGAAACCTGCATCATAGTGGAGTTGTTTTGTATTTCTCTCTATATTTCTCCGCCCATTACATTGCCCAGCATCGAGCCTCGACTTCTTAGCGATGGCGACCAATAACTATATGAGCGAACGCGCAACGATAGACGATAGGCGTCTTTCACTCCTAGGGCTGCTACTATGCACTCTTCTCCTATTAGACCATTTGGATTGGTGCAAGAGTCCAAATGTCAAAAATAGACTCCGTCGATATGAAAACAGTGTTTTGACTCCTATTTCTCTGTATTCCAGCATCGTCAATAAAATACACTCTGAACATTTTTTTACATATCAATTTAGTAAAACATTAATTAAATTATTATAAGTAATGTTTTCTTTTTATTTTTTTCTCTGATTAATCATAAAATAAAAAAGACACATTTCGATGTAAAAATAAATAAATTTCATTTCTATTTTTTTTTATAGCAAAATTTTAATTAAAAATAATTGAAAAATAAAATAAATTATTTTAACTGTTGGATTTCAATTTCAGCCGTTGGATCATCTTTTTCCCGTTCAAACAGTGTCCAGATGATCACAACCGTTGGATCTACCAATTCTCTTAAATAAAAAAGCCAGATGCCATTATGAGTGCCACGTGACACAAGCTTGACACCACCATGATGTCATGCAATAAGTTTATATCCTGCTCACCATGTCGAGATGGCATCTTTTCCTCTGCGCAACCAAATTGTTCATACCCACCCTTTTTACTTTTTCTTTTCCATTTAATTTTATGGAGTCAACTCCACCCTTCAAATATAGAACCCTCCATCCCATTACCCATTTTTACTCTCCCACTTTGCCAACCACTACAAGGAATTGGGAGTCCAAAAATTCCTCTTTTAACATTTTAGACTCCTAATCCTACACCACTCCAAGTGGTCTTAAGATGGTCTTTCTTGAGTTTCTTCTTTCATTTTTTAAAGATTTATCACAATTCTTTAGCTATATATCAGTATAAAAGTGAGTATAACAGTAGATACAAAGAGCATTTTTTATCATTTGCTGCATACTCAGTATCATTTACGGAGTATATAGGGAGTAACATTTAAAAAAAAATCCCCAAATAATCTATATTACTAATAAGAAAGTGGTAAACAAAAATGTGATTTAGTAATTTTTAGTAATTTTGAACATAATTATAATCACTAAAAGTTGTTGTTTTTTTGAATAAGTGACATTTTTGTTCATAACTTTTTATAGTAATATATTTTCGGAAAAATCTTTAACATTTATCATTCGAGATTTTCCCCTAAATATTACTAATAAAAAATCACTAATATTACTAATATTATTAAAATATTACTTAGTAACTATTAGTAAATATAATTGTGTTCAAAGTTTGCATCGTCGTAACTTACATGTAATTACTGAGATTTATTGAACACAATTATATTCACCAGGAGTTATTGAGTAATATTTTTGTCCACTACATTTAAAAGAGTAATAATAATGAAACTTTTTCGTATCATTTTAAATTATTATATTCATTATTACGTAGTTGTCAAAAAAACTGATTAAAATTATGTACAAATTACCGATTATTATACTAAAATAAATTACTCGGTCAACATTAATCTATGTGTTCTAGCGGAAGCTCTCGAAATCAACATCCTCATCGGTACATCACCTATACAAAACCATCTACAGAAAGAAAACAAAGGAAAACAAAAATTAGCTTGAAATGCTAAGTCCCACCTAGACCTCTAGCCAATTCAATCTCAATCATATCCCGAAATCTTTCCCCTGCTGAGTGTCTGTCCGATATCCAACTAATCAACACACTGTCGCAAGGTTGCTCTGATACCACCTGCAACACCACGGCCCCATTTAGTGATGGCAACGGGGCGGATCGGGGACGGGTACACATAAAACTGAAACCGCCTCGTTGGATAAATGTTTGCCCCAAAACCTCCCCATTACCCGTTCGGGTAATTTTTATTTAAACCGTATCCGCCCCAACGGGGAATCGGTTTATCCACGAGTAACCGTTTCCCCAAATGATGCCAAATAACCATTTTTTGGAAAACAAATAACCAATTTCTAATCCTACTTGTTATTTATATATTCAAAGCACCCTAAAACATACAAAAGTAAATATTTAAGCAATCAAGCAGACTGGCCTACATCCATTAGTATGACATGCACCTAATATCGCTTGTAACATAATAAAAAGGTAGTAATCATCCCAGAATCCAAATTCCAAAAACAGGTTTAGGCCTATATTTAGTTTTAGGCCTAAAAAGTAGTATACTTTTTAGCATTATTTATATGATATATACTATTTAGTATACACAATTTAGCATATATACTTATTATTCTTATATATATAAAGTTATAATTCATTAATAATGTTACGGATCAGGTAACGGTGTGGGTACCCGCACTATTATTAAACAGGGCGGATAACGGGGCGGATTAGTATAGAACCATAACCGCACCATTAATCATTTAAAAAATTCGGGTATTCCCCGCCCCATACCCATTCACCAGTCAAACCGATTTTCCCCAGTTTGACGAAATCGGTTCGGTGCGGGTATCCAACGGGTCGGCCGAAATTGCCATCTCTAGCCCCGTTGGACCTGAGGTAGTTACTCCAACACACCCTCCAGACCTCTAGTACTGTCCTCACAAACCGCCACAAGCCTTCCACACGCACTTTGTGCTCACTCGTGTACGACCTGAGAAACTTCACAGGGGATCACTCATCCTAAGACTACTCTCGTGCAAGCACACTTAACTTTGGATTTTTTAGCTGATGAGCTCACTTAAAAGGAGGTGCACCTTGTTGGTATGAGTAGTACTATCAATCCATTTAAATTAATCTCAAGTGTTACATAATGAAACAATAAAGGTGTTGTTGAAGAAAATTATGTATTGTGTTCTATCATGTAGATAGAATATCATGTAGATAGAATATGTATCGCGAATCATACTGTGTAAATAATGTAATTTCGGCCCATATTATGTCCCTTGTAAACTCTAATTGCCCTCTATTTAATGGGTGCTTGGTAATGAAGCTAAGCTATGACCCATTTTTTTAATAAAAAGTGCAGCATAATTTGAGATGTACGGAGTGATGTATGTGCTAAGTGCACTTAATATAGGCATTTATGAAAACATGCATGGTCTCTAGACACAAGCCTCTACTGATCAATATCCAATAACCTGTTCACTTTGAAATTTGAAGGGACGACTGGTTGCTAACGTATATTTTCCCGTTGTGTATCTTTAGATAGGTGAAGATTTGTGTCTTCCCTTTGTCAGCTTTGTCACTGTAGTCGCGAGAGTGGATCAGAGAAGGTTGTCATTTGACAAAAAAAGACTAGTTTATGACCGGAAAAAAATAGTTTACCAAAATGTAACTTTTAGTCTTTTATATCTTAGTAAATATAATAGTAACTTTAGTGATTATGACCGTATTCAACATAAAATTATAATATAGCAACTGTGAAGGTAAACTTATAGTAATTTTAATAATATTGTTGTCAATGAGTTACATGTCAATAATATTTTTTAAAAAACTCTTATTTTACTCTATAAATAAATTGAGCTTGACTTTTATCTTATTCTTTTTTCTCAATTGGACCTTCAATCTTATGGTTTTGTTCATAGTGCGTAGGGATATTTTAAAGAGAAAAATATCACAATATTAATAAATCCATGAATTTTCCAAGAGTATGAACATATATGTTTTCTAAATTCACAATGACCTGATCAAATATGACATATATGGATTGACTGATTTTATAAGAATAAGAAATTGATAATCCTCTCATCATGTGACGTGCACTTTGTCGTGTGTGCACTCAAAATAATTCAATACTAGCACTTATACGTAGTATAGGTGAAGTAGAGTTCGTATCCACATGGAAAGGAATAACTCTCTTTTTATGTAACTAGTAAATAAAGGGGGGTTTTGATTTTGTGATTTAATTATACACGAAGATGAACGAGTTATGTGGGTTTTAATTCAAGAATAAAAGGGACTTGGTCTTGCTACTTTCCACTTGTTGATATATTTTAGTCGATCATTGTTATATCTATAACTTATCCCCTCTCGAATACTCAATCGCGGAGTATCTCCAATTCATCGAGGGTAGTTATTAACAACGACCGTTCATTAATAACCCTTACTATTTATCAAATATAGAACAACGCCGTATACCGATATAATAGTAGCATTTAACTTCTTTAACTCCTTGATGAAATCAATTAAGATTGATAACCTCAACACAACGGTTTCGGTTTAACCAACAAAATTAATCCCTCTTAAGTTTATTAACCACGACCGTGCACTAATAAACCGAAGTTACTTACTTGTGAAACCATCAACGTTTAACCATCGGTTCGTTGATCGTTTCTAGTAATAATCAATGTCGGAACGTTAACTAATCGTCACTTAGCCACCCTCCAACATTAATATAGAATGAGATTAAGGGAAGAATTAATAATCAAGAGGAGAAAGTAAGAAAATAACTCACAACTTTAATAATCAACAAGCTTCAAGAGCAAAACCAAGAAATGGAAGTTTAGCTCCTCATTTGGAGACTAAACATGCTAAAAGAAATATAGAGAAATGCTATTCTAAATTGAGCTTAAGAGTATAAAGGAATTGGTTTTTTTTAAAGTGAATGAAAGGAGGTGTATTTATAGGTTTTTTTGAGGTGCAGGTCGGGTACCCGATCGAGTATATACATATACTCGATCGAGTATGTGTAGAATGGTGAATTTTGAGCCATACTCGACCGAAGTCGGGTTGAAATTTATACGTATACCCGATCGAGTATGTCGGTGTACTCGATCGGGTATGACAATAGAACGTGGTCAAATCTTTCCTTGCATGTTCCTTTGTTCCCGGATCGGATCCTTGAAAATCAGTATTGGTACTCGATCGAGTATAAGGTGTACTCGACCGAGTACAGGTCAAAATCAGGAACTTTCCTTCTTTTTGTCTTGTACTCTTGCACCTTCCTTCACCAATGATCATTTGATTGATCTTGTACCTGTTTAAGCTCAGAATAAACCTAATCTAAACAATTTACAAGAATTTAACAAACTAAACTATTACACCAAAAGTGTGTAATTTCCGAAATATTAAACAACCAAAACTAACTAA